TTGGCTGTGGGTTTGTCATAAATAGCTCTTATTATTTTGAGATATGTTCCATCAATACCTAGTTTATTGAGAGTTTTTAACATGAAGGGATGTTGAATTTTATCAAAGGCCTTTTCTGCATCTATTGAGATAATCATGTGGTTTTTTTCATTGGTTCTGTTTATGTGATGGATTACATTTATTAATTTGCATATGTTGAGTCAGGCTTGCATCCAGGGATGAAGCCGATTTGATCGTGGATAAGCTTTTTGATGTGCTGCTGGATTCAGTTTGCCAGTATTTTATTGAGAATTTTTGCACCAATGTTCATCAGGGATATTGGCCTGAAGTTTTCTTTTTGTTGTTGTGTCTCTCCTGTTTTTGGTATCAGGATGGTGCTGGCCTCATAAAATGAGTTAGGGAGGAGTCCCTCCTTTTCAGTTGTTTGGAATAGTTTCTGAAGGAATGGTACCAGCTCCTTTTTGTACCTCTGGTAGAATTCGGCTGTGAATCTGTTTGGTCCTGGGGTTTTTTTTGGCTGGTAGCCTATTTATTACTGCCTCAATTTCGGAACTTGTTATTGGTCTATTCAGGGATTCAACTTCTTCCTGGTTTAGTCTTGGGCGGGTGTATGTGTCCAGGAATTTGTCAATTTCATCTAGATTTTTCTAGTTTATTTGCTTACAGGTGTTTATAGTATTCTCTGATGGTAGTTTGTATTTTCTGAGGGTAGTTTGATATCCTCTTTATCATTTTTATTGTATCTCTTTGATTCTTCTCTCTTTTCTTCTTTATTAGTCTAGCTAGTGATCTATCTATTTTATTAATTTTTCAAAAAACCAGCCCCTGGATTCATTGATTTTTTGAAGGGTTTTTCATGTCTCTATCTCCTTCAGTTCCACTCTGATCTTTGTTATTTCTTGTCTTCTGCTAACTCTTGGATTCGTTTGCTCTTCTCTAGTTCTTTTAATTGTGAGGTTAGCGTGTCGATTTGAGATCTTTCCAGCTTTCTGACATGGGCATTTAGTGCTATAAATTTCCCTCTTAGCACGGCTTTAGCCATGTCCCAGCGATTCTGGTATGTTGTCTCTTTGTTTGCATTGGGTTTCAGAAAACTTGATTTCTGCCTTAATTTCGTTATTTACCTAGGAGTCATTCAGCAGCAGGTTGTTCAATTTCCTTGTAGTTGTGTGGTTTTGAGTGAGTTTCTTAATTCTGAGTTCTAATTTGATTGCACTGTGGTCTGAGAGACTGTTATGATTTCAGTTCTTTTGCATTTGCTGAGGAGTGTTTTACTTCCAATTATGTGGTTGATTTCAGAGTAAGTCCCATGTGGCACTGAGAAGAATGTATATTCTGCTGTTCTGGAGTGGAGAGTTCTGTAGATATTAGGTCCACTTGATCCAGAACTGAGTTCAAGTCCTGAATATCCTTGTTAATTTTCTGTCTTGTTGATCTGTCTAATATTGGCAGTGGGGTGTTAAAGTCTCCCACTATTATTGTGTGGGAATCTAAGTATCTTTGTAGATCTCTAAGAATTTGTTTTATGAATCTGGGTGCTCCTGTATTGGGTGCATATATATTTAGGATAGTTAGCTCTTCTCATTGAATTGATCCCTTTACCATTATGTAATGCCTTTCTCTGTCTTTTTTGATTTTTGTTGGTTTAAAGTCTGTTTGTCAGAGACTGGACTTGCAAATCCTGCTTTTTACTGCTTTCCATTTGCTTGGTAAATTTTCCTCCATCCCTTTATTTTGAGCCTATGTGTGTCTTTGCACATGAGATGGGTCTCTTGAATACAGCACAGCAATGGGTCTTGATCTTTATTCAATTTGCCAGTTTGTGTCTTTTAATTAGATCTTTTAGCCCATTTATATTTAAGGTTAATATTGTTGTGTGTGAATTTTATCCTGTCATCATGATGCTAGCTGGTTATTTTGCACACTAGTTGATGCCATTTCTTCTTAGTGTCATGGGTCTTTATATTTTCATGTGTTTTGCAGTGACTGGTACTGGTTTTTCCTTTCCATATTTAGTGCTTTCTTCAGGAGCACTTGCAAGGCAGGCCTGGTGGTGACAAATTCCCTCAGCATTTGCTTGTCTGAAAAGGACTTTACTTCCCTTTGCTTATGAAGCTTAGTTTAGCCAGATATGAAGTTCTGGGTTGAAAATTCTTTACTTTAAGAATGTTGCATATTGGACCCCACTCTCTTCTGGCTTGAAGGGTTTCTTCTGAGAGATCTGCTGTTAGTTTTATGGGCTTCCCTTTGTAGGTGACCTGGCCTTTCTCTCTGGCTGCCCTTAACATTTTTTCCTTTATTTTGACCTTGGAGAATCTGATGGTTATGTGTCTTGGGTTGATCTTCTCGTGGAGTATCTTACTGGGGTTTTCTGTATTTCCTGAATTTGAATGTTGGCCTGTCTTGCTAGGTTGGGAAAGTTCTCCTGGATAATATCCTGAAGTGTGTTATCCAACTTGTTTCCATTCTCCCTGTCTCTTTCAGGTACGCCAATCAGTCATAGGTTTGGTCTTTTTACATAGTCCCATATTTCTCAGAGGTTTTGTTCATTCCTTTTCCTTCTTTTTTCTCTAATCTTGTCTGCCTGCCTTATTTCAGCAAGATAGTATTCCATCTCTGATATTCTTTCTTCCATTTGATCGATTCGGCTATTGATACTTGTGTATGCTTAACGAGGTTCTCATGCTGTGTTTTTCAGTTCCATTAGGTCATTTATGTTCCTCTATAAACTGGTTATTCTAGTTAGCAGCTCCTGTAACCTTTTATCAAGGTTCTTAGCTTCTTTGCATTGGGTTAGAACATGCTCCTTTGCCTCAGCGAAGTTTGTTATTACCCACCTTCTGAAGCCTACTTCTGTCAATTCGTCCATCTCATCCTCCGTCCAGTTCTGCTCCTTTGCTGGAGAGGTGCTGCAGTCATTTGGAGGAGAAGAGGCACTCTGGCCTTTCAGGTTTTCAGTGTTTTCTTGTTGATTATTTCTCATCTTCATGAGTTTGTCTCATTTCGATCTTTGAGGCTGCTGACCCTTGGATGATGTTTGTGGGAACTTTTTTGTTGATGCTGTTGTCATTGCTTTCTGTTTGTTTTTCTTTCAGTAGCCAGATCCCTTTTCGGTAGGGCTGCTGCGATTTGCTGGGGGTTCACTTCAGGCCCTCTTCATCTGGTTCGCTCTCCTGCACCTGAAGATGTCACTTGAGGAGGCTGGAGAACAGCAAAGATGGGTGCCTGCTCCTTCCTCTGGGATCTCTGACCTTGAGGGGCACCTAACTGATGCCAATAGGAACACTCCTGTATAGGGTGTCTGACAATTCCTTTTGGGGGCTCTCACCCAGTTGGGCAGCACGGGAAGCAGGACCCATTTAATGATGCGCTTTGGCTGTGCCTTGGTGGAGGGGGTGTGGTTTGCTGGGGGGAAACCCACTCATCTGGGCTGCCCAGATTCCTCAGAGCCAGCAGCAGAAAAGACTACATCTGCTGGTTCACAGAGACTGTCTTCTTTTCTACTGGAGATTTTTTTCGTTAAGCTTTCCTCCAGGCAAGTCTCTAAACCACTGACCTGGAGCAGGTTTTATTGACCAGACCTCACCCTGGGGCTCATCTGGCAGCAGCGTTAACTGGCCACCCTGATGCAGGCTGTGCTGTGAGTCTGAATGTTTCCTTCCCTACAGGGACCATTTAGTCTCCACGGCAGGGAAACTGCCTTCATCTTTTTGTACCTCTCAGGGCTGTTTTAAGGAGAGGAGTATTTGGCAACTTGAGCAAGAAAGACTGGCCACTTCAAATCACATCAGATATGTGAAATTTCAGTTTTGTTTCTAGATTTCTTGAAAACAGATTGATGACACCTTTTCATTTGAAAAGGACATCCACATTACAGTATTTTAAAAACAACTAATTTATGTCATTGACAATTTACTTTTGAGGCCCTGAAGGTGTACAGCAGAGCCCTCAACCAGACGCTGGTACCTCTGCAGAATATTAACCTTATTTCTGCTCTGGGTGTTTTGAACTTGGCTAATTACCAAAAATCTCCTTCTTCTGATTAAGAGTTTTAAATCTGGCTACTGTCACCTTGGAGAAACAGCTCTGTTCAAAGAAGGAGCAGTGCCCTAGCCTTGATGTTCATGTTCCCTAAGGGGACAACACCTCCTGATACGTGGAAAAAGGTTTTCAATCAATCACCAAATACCACAAATCTCTTGAAATTGAGTTTATTGTTGCATCATAATAACTGTATGGGAAAGAATTTTAGCATCAACATAAGAAATAGCTTTGTTATTGGGCTTTTCTTTTTTTTTTTTTTTTGAGACAAGGTCTGACTTTGTCGCTCAGGCTGGAGTGCCCAGGCAGCAAGGTTCCTGGGCTTTTCAGATGGGAAACAGAGAGAGAGGAGGGAAAAAAAGAGAATCACAAGTAAGAAATTTAAGGGGATGGGATTAGGAGATGGGTTGAGCAGAAAAACTGACAGGAGTCAGTACAAGACTAAGGAGAAGCAAAGAAGATGATGAAAAGGAAGAAGGCTACACATCTACTAGGGAGTGTTTGAAAAATACATGTATAGGACATAAGGGTAATTTGATTTTTTTAAATGCTTAATGTACATGCATTTTAATTAAACATTGTTGTGAGACTAAAACATGTGAATCTTGGCTTTTAGGCTTTATATGGGGAAAGTAGAAGGTGCACTCAATCAGTAATTCCATTATAGTTCTTCCAGAATAGGCCGGAAACAGTGGGTCATGGCTCTAATCCCAGAACTTTGGGAGGCTGAGGCAGGAGGATCCCTTGTGCCCAGGAGTTCAAGACCAACCTGGACAACATAGCAAGACCTCATCTCCACAAAAAAAAGAATTAGCTGGGCATAATGGTGCATGCTTGTGGTCCTAGCTACTTGGAAGGCTGAGGTGAGAGGATTGCTTGAGTTCTATAGGTCGAGGCTGCAGAGAGCCCTGAGTGTGCCACTGCCCTCCAGCCTGAGTGGCAGAGCAAGATGCTGTCTCAAAAAACAAAACAAAACAATCTTTGGAGGCAAACACAATGGCGACAAGATGTTGGCAAGTGTTATTCATTGCAGTATTCACTATCAGTAGGTGCCTGCATATGTGGGCAAAAACCTTAGCTCTGGTTAAATAAATAAACACCACACTCATCATTGTAATAAGAGCTTCAACTTCACTGAGCTTAAACTCTCAAGTCTCACGATGTTTTTCTGTCTTCTATTTAAAGAAAATAGTAATGTGACAACACCGCTTCCCTCATCCACTCCAAGTAGCCGTATTTCTACAAAGAGCATTCCTCACGAGACATCCCCTTCAGGTGAAACAACCACCTCACCCCATTCCAGTGTGAGCAACACATTCCTGATGACATCACAGATGCAAACAATGAAAATGTCCACAGACTCCACTCCAGGAACCACAGGGGAAACAACTGGAAGTAAAAATCCTACTGCAGTCACCTCAGCAGGCTCAGTAGCAATGACACTAGAGGGACAATCAACTGCAACTTATTCAAGGACCTCTAATCAGGACATATCAGCTTCATCTCAGAACCACCAGACTAAGAGCATGGAGACCACCAGAGAATCTGAAACTGGCACCCTCACACAGATGGCCACATTAACTTTTTCATCCTCCCCAAGTGTACACAATGTGACAGAGACTGTTTCTCAGGAGACATCTACTCCAGGTAAAACAATGACCTCATACCCCTCGAGTTTCAGCAACACACCCGTGATGACAGCATCCACAGACTCCACTCTTGGAAACACAGAGGAGACATCAACACTGGGAACTAAAAGTCCTTCCCCACTGGCCTCAGCAGCCTCCATAACAGCTGAGACAAATGGGCAATCAACTGCAGCTTTGCTGAGGACATCTATTCAGGACAAATCAGCTTTTTCCCAGAACCACCGAACTCACAGCACGCAGACCACCAGAAAATCTCAAATCAGCACTCTCACACAGATGATGACATCAACTCTTTCCTTCTCTCCAAGTACACACAATGTGACAGGGACTGTTTCCCAAGAGGCAACTCCTCCAGGTGAAACAACCACCTCATCCCCCTCCAGTTTCAGCAACACACCCCCAATGACAACATCTACAGACTCCATTCTTGGAAAAACAGAGGAGACATCAACACCTGGAACTAAAAGTCCTACTCCAGTATCCTCAGTAGAGTCCATAACAGCTGAGCCAGCAGGACAATCAACAGCACCTTCCTCAAGGACCTCTACCCAGGACATATCAGCTTCTTCTCAGAACCACCAGTCTCATAGCACAGAGACCACCAGCGAAGCTCAAACTGGCACCCCTACACAGATGATGACATCAACACTTTCCTCTTCCCCAAGTGTACTCAATGTGACAGACGCTGTTTCTTGGGAGACATCCCCTACAGATGAAATGACCACATCATTTCCCTCCAGTGTCACCAACACACTCATAATGACATCAAAGACTATAACAACGACAACCACCACAGACTCCACTCTTGGAAACACAGAAGACACATCAACACCAGGAACTGAAAGTTCTACCCCAGTGACCTCAGCAGTCTCAATAACAGCTGAACTGGAAGGACAATCACAAACAATGTCCTCAAGGACTTCTATCCAGGACACATCAGCTTCTTCACAGAACCACCAGACACAGAGCACAGATAACACCAGAGAGTCTCAAACCAGCACCCTCACAGAGATGTCCACATTACCTCTTCCATCCTCCCCAAGTGTACACAATACGACAGCAACTGTTTCTCAGAACACACCTCCTCCGGGTGAAACAACTGCCTCGTTCCTCTCCAGTGTCATGGACACATCCATGATGACATCAAAGATGATAACAGTGACAACCTCCACAGACTCCACTCTTGGAAACACAGTGGAGACATCAACACTGCTTACTGGAAGTCATAGGTCAATCACCTCAGCCGCGTCAATGACAGCTGAGCCAGAAGGACAATCACCAGCAACTTCCTCAATGACCTCTTCCCTGGACACAACAGGTTTTTCTCAGAACCACCAGACTCAGAGCATGGAGACCACCAGAGAATCTCAAACCAGCACCCTCACACAGATGCCCACATCCACTCTTTCTTACTCCCCAAGAGTACGTAACGTGACATGGACTGTTTCTCAGGAGACATCTCCTCCAGGTGATACGACCACCTCATCACCCTCCAGTGACACACCCGTGATGACATCCAAGGTTATAACAATGACAACCTCCACAGACTCCAGCCTTGGAAACACAGGGGAGACATCAACACCGCTTACTGGAAGTCTGATGCCAGTCACATCAGCAGTCTCAATAACAGCTGAGCCAGAAGGACAATCAGCAACTTCTCTGAGGACCTCTACTCAGGACACATCAGCTTTTTCTCAGAACCACCAGTCTCAGAGCACGGAGACCACAAGCGAAGCTGAAACCGGCACCCTCACACAGAGATCCACATCAACACTTTCCTCTTCCCCAAGTGTACTCAATGTCACAGAGACTGTTTCTCAGGAGACATCCCCTGCAGATGAAATGACCACCCCATCTCCCTCCAGTGTCACCAGCACACCCATGTGAGTGACATCAAAGGTTGTAACAACCCAGCCTTACACAGAGTCACTTTGGCCAACCTGAGGAGACGTCTCGACACCTGGAACTAAAGTCCTACTCAACCCCTCAGCAGCAACCATCCACAGCTGAGATGGAGGACAATCAGCAGCACCTTCCTCAGGACTACCCCAAGGGACATATCAGCTTCTTCTCAGACACCCCATCTCAGAGCACAGAGACCACTGGTGAAACTCCTTAGCACCCTCACAGATGATGACATCAACACTTTCCTCTTCCCCAGAGTGTACTCAATGTGTGGAAGACGGTTTCTCAGAAAGACATCTCTCCAGATGAAATATTATCATTTCCCTCCAGTCATCACCAACACACTCCATGATGACATCAAAGACTATAACAATGACAACCTCAACAGACTCCACTGTTGGAAACACAGAAGAGACATCAACACCAGGACCTGAAAGTTCTACCCCAGTGACCTCAGCAGTCTCAATAACAGCTGAACTGGAAGGACAATCACAAACAACTTCCTCGAGGACCTCTACATAGGAGCCACGCTAAGCTTCTTCCTCCCAGAACCACCAGACTCAGAGCATAGAGACCACCAGCAAAGCACCAAACTGGCACCTCACACAGATGACATTGCATAAGCTCACTTTCATCCTCCCCAAGTCTTGCTGAATGTGACAGAGACTGTTTCTTCAGGGAGACATCCTTCCAGATGAAATGACACATCATTTCCATCCAGTGTCACCAACACACCCAGGATGACATCAAAGACTATAACAATGACCAAAAGCATAGACTCACTCTTGGAAACATAGTGGAGACATCAACCTCCAGGAACCAGAAGTTCTGCAAGTCACCTCAGGAGCCTCAATAACAGCGAGCCAGAGGACGTAATCATCAACCCAAGCCTATTTGAGGACCTCTACTCTGGGGACACACATCACTTCTTCCTCAGAACCCTACAGTCTCAGAGCAGAGACCCACAGGCGAAACCCCGAAACTGGCACCCTCACTGAAGTCACTCAACTTGCTTTCCTCTTCCCCAAGTGTACTCAATGTCACAGAGACTGTTTCTCAGGAGACATCCTCTGCAGGTGAAATGACCACCCCATCTCCCTCCAGTGTCACCAGCACACCCATAATGACATCAAAGTTTATGACAACCTTTACAGAATTTTACCCAACACTGAGGAGGTATCGACCTGGGGCTTCCAAAAGTCTTTTTCTCCAGCCCCTCAGCAGCATCCATACCAGTTCCAGACCAGAAGGACAATCTTTAGCACCTTCCTCAAGGACCTCTACCGAGACCTTATCAGCTTATTCTCAGAACCACCAGTCTCAGCGCACAGAGACCACCAGCGAAGCTCAAACCAGCACCCTCACACAGATGATGGCATCCTTTCCTCTTCCCCAATTGGCACTCCAATGGGATGGAGACTGTTTCTCCAAGAGCGTCTCCTGCAGTGAAATGACACATACTTCCTCAGTGTCACCAACACGCTCCAGCAGTGTATCCAAGACTATAGCAATGACAACCTCCACAGACTCCTCCTTGGAAACATAGAGAGACATCAACACCAGGGCTGAAAGTTTCTACCCAGTGATCTCAGCAGTCTCAATAACAGCACAGACTGGAAGGACAATCACACACAACGTCCTCAAGGACTTCTATCCAGGACACATCAGCTTCTTATAGAACCACAGACACAGAGCACAGATTTCTTACCACCAGAGGAGTCTCAAACCAGCACTCTTACACAGAGAACCACACCAGACACAGAGCACAGACACCACCAGAGAGTCTCAAACCAGCACTCTTACACAGAGAACCACATCAATTCCTTCCTTCTCCCCAAGTGTACACAATGTGAAAGGGACTATTTCTCAGAAGACATTTCCTCCAGGTGAAACAACTACCTCATCCCTCTTTAGTGTCACAAACACACCCATGATGATATCAAAGAAGATAACAATGACAACCTCCACAGACTCCACTCTTGGAAACACAGGGGAGACATCAGTACCTGTTACAAGAAGTCTTATGCCAGTCACTTCAGCAGCCCCAATAACAGCTGAGCCAGAAGGACAATTACCAGCAACTTCCTCAAGGACTTCTACTCAGGACACAACAGGTTTTTCTCAGAACCACCAGTCTCAGAGCACAGAGATCACCAGCGAAGCTCAAACTGACACCCTCACACAGATGACATCAACTCTTCCCTCTTCCCCAAGTGTACTCAATGTGACGGAGGCTGTTTCTCAGAAGACATCTCCTCCAGATGAAATAACCACATCATTTTCCTCCAGTGTCACCAACACACTCATGATGACATCAAAGACTATAACAATGACAACCTCCACAGACTCCACTCTTGGAAACACAGAAGAGACATCAACACCAGGAACTGAAAGTTCTACCCCAGTGACCTCAGCAGTCTCAATAACAGCTGAACTGGAAGGACAATCACGAACAACTTCCTCAAGGACCTCTACGCAAGACACATCAGATTCTTTGCAGAACCACCAGACTCAGAGCATAGAGACCACCAGAGTATCTCAAATCAACACCCTCACACCGGTTACAACATCAACTGTTTTATCCTCACCAAGTGGATTCAACCCAAGTGGAACAGTTTCTCAGGAGACATTCCCTTCTGGTGAAACAACCACTTCATCCCCTTCCAGTGTCAGCAACACATTCCTGGTGACATCAGAGGTGTTCAGAATGCCCACCTCCAGAGACTCTACTCTTGGAAACACAGAGGAAATATCACTACCTGTAAGGGGAACCATTTCTGCAATTACTTCTAGAGTTTCAACCATATGGTTGTCAGACACACTGTCAACAGCACTCTCCCCCAGTTCTTTACCTCCAAAAATATCCACAACTTTCCACACCCAGCAGAGTGAAGGTGCAGAGACCATAGGACGGCCTCATGAGAGGAGTTCAGTCTCTCCAGGTGTGTCTCATGAGACATTTCCTCCACATGAAACCATAACATGGCCTTCCTCATTCTCCAGTGAAGACCGCACAACTCGCTCACCAAAAGAACTGCCCTCAACACCAACAGGTGCTGCCACTAGGCTTGTCACAGGAAGTCCAATAGTGCCAGGGACAGCTGGCACTATTCCAAGGGTCCCCTCTGAGGTCTCAACAATAGGGGATTCAAGACAGCCCACCACACACCCCTCCCACAGCACAACTCTCTTGGAAACAACAGGGGCAGGTGCCCAGACACAATGGACACAAGAAACGGGGACCACTGGAGAGGTTCCTATCAACAGCCCAAGCTACAGTGTGACTCAGATGATAAATACAACCCCATCTTCTTCACCTATGCTGAATGGACACACATCACAACAAATTACAATGGCACCATCAACAAATCATTCAACAATACATTCCACAAACACCTCTCCTCAGGAATCACTGGCTGTTTCCCAGAGAGGTCACACTCAAGCCCCGCAGACCACACAAGAATCCCAAACCACAAGGTCCATCTCCCCTGTGACTGACACCAAGACAGTCACCACCCTAGGCTCTTCCTTCACAGCCAGTGGGCACTCATCCTCAGAAATTGCTCCTCAGGACGCACCTACCATAAGTGCAGCGACAACCTTTGCCCCAGCTCCCACTGGGGATGGTCACACAACCCAGGCCCCAACCACAGTACTGCAGGCGGCACCTAGCAGTCCTGACTCCACCCTGGCGCCCTCAGGAGGTGCATCACTTTCCATAACAGGTGCTCTTCCTGGTGTAGTGTCAACACCAGGGGTCCTAGAAGGACGATGGACATCAGCCTCTGCCAGCACCTCACCTGACACAGCAGCAGCCATGACCCAAACCCACCAGGCTGAAGGCACAGAGGCCTCTGGAGAAACACAGACCAGTGAACCGGCCTCCTCGGGGTCGGGCACCACCTCAGAGGGCACAGCTACCCTTTCCTCATCCAGGGCGAGCGGCACAACACCTTCAGGAAGCGAAGGAATATCCATCACAGGAGTGACCACATGGTTCTCACCAAACCCCTCCAGGGACAGTCACACAACCCAGTCAACAACCGAATTGCTATCTGCCTCAGCCAGTCATGATGCCACCCCAGTAAGCACAGGAATGGTGTCTGCGATTGTCCCCAGCACCTTTCCTGTCACCCTCTCTGAGGCCTCCACTGCAGGGAGACCGACAGGACACTCAAGCCCAACTTCTCCCAGTGCCTCTCCTCAGGAGACGGCTGCCATTTCCCAGATGGCGCAGACTCAGAGGACAGGAACCAGCAGAGGGTCTGACACCATCAGCCTGGTGTCCCAGGTGACCGACACTTTCTCAACAGTCACACCCACACCTCCTTCGATCACATCCAGTGGGCTCACATTTCCACAAACCGAGACCCACGCTCTGTCACCTTCAGGGTCTGGTACAACCTTCAACATGGCCCTCATCAGCAACAGCCATGGCACCCAGACAACAGTGCCAACCTCGTCACCTGGGACCACGGAAGGGCCACCTAAGGTCAGTTCCAGCACCCTGAGTGATGGCGCCTCTCATTCTCCTTCCACAGTTGTGTCCACCAGTGAGGGTGTTCTGACCACAGGCAGGAGCTCAGTCATCCATGAGACTGTACCCGCAGTGGTCTTTACCCCGGTACATTCTGGTAACAATGCCTTAACGATTACCACGCGGGTGCCTGCATCGTCAGTGGGCGTCTCAAGCACGCCCAGCCCTGAGCACCCGGAAGCTACAAGGGTGACCCCCACACCCAACCCCATGATAAGGTCCACGCACAAGAGTTCTACAAGCAATCATAGTGGCACAATGAATTCTACGCCAACCTCGTCATTCTCCCCTACCACCTACCTGTCAATCCAGACCACTCTGGAAGCTTCTTCAGCATCTAAGTATCCTAAGAACACATTTCCCACGCCACAGCCATCCAGAGACTCAGCTTCCTCCAGTGACGTGAACACAGCTCAGACCACACTGACTGTCTCTACTTCCAGCAGTCACTCTCCATTCTCTCCAGCATTCCCTGGCCCTGCTGTCACGTCGAACTCCACCACCCTACTCACAGGTCATGCCACCCCTCTTGCCGTCAGCAGCGCATCCTCAGCATCCACAGTATCCTCGGGCTCCCCTCTGAAGACGGAAACATCAGGTAGCTGCCATCTGCCTTGTCTTCGTCTCTCCCAGTGGCCCCCTTGGCTGAATTCGGCCTAAGGAGTACTGGAGAACACTGGCGCATTCACAGTATCCGGTGGGACTGAGTCAGGTCCCACAGAGGAGGAGGTGATGGGTGTGGTGGGTGACAGGCTTACCCCACTCTGCCCCAGTCGAAACCCGCTGATGTCGAGAGTGGTTTGGATATGACCAGCGGACAGACACGGAGTTTCCAGCTCCTCTTCCAGCTCCTGATTTCTTTGAATCTCTTTGACTCTGCTGTTCTCTTACTGTAAGAACCACCCCTGCCTTCTCTTTTCACGTGTCCAGGAATGACGACAACGTCAGTGAAGACAGGCAGCGAGAGTGGCCGAGTCACCTCACTACCCCCGACCACCTCCCAGACCGCCACAGCCACATCCACACCCCCAACGACCTCTGAGACCGCCACCTCCACCACAGCCCCATCCCCACCCCCGACCACCTCCCAGGCCGCCACCTCCGCCACTCCCAGCACTGCCACGCACACCCGCTCCACAGCTGCCCCCGTCCCCGTCCCGTCTGAGAAAGGTGAGTGAGGCCGTGCAGGTGAGACATGTGCGTTTTGAGCGGTGACGTAACTGATGGCTCCCTCTCAGCCTGCTTTCCACAGTCTTTGCTCTTTCGGGTCGGGAGGGCCTTACTGAGGACAGGGACACAGCATCGGAGTCGCTGCTGAGGGCTGGCTTTGTGCATGGCACTGGGCCAGGGGCTGGAGACAGAGAAATGACCCTGGTGCCATTCAGCAAGGGACAGATGGACTGTCTGGTAGAGGTGGTTAGAGGACTCGTGCCAGGGTCTAAGCGCACACAATGGAAAGCCCTAAGGAAGGCAGAGCCGGAGGGTGGAGAGCACCCCGGGCAGGGAGGAGGGACAGGGAGGAGGGCGGGAACAGCTGGAACAAAAGTGCGGAAGGTATGGCCGTGGAAAGTGGACCCGGTGCTGCATGGGGAGTGGATCCCCGAATCATTTGGGGTGGCTGAAAATGAGAACAAGAGGAGCAAAAAGTGCGGCCAGCATGCAATCCTGTAGGTAAGGAGAGCCAGGGAGGACTGTTTTGCATTGTACAAATGGCATTTAACAAGTGGTGCCTGCAGTGGCCAGATGTGCAGGCAGCGACCAGGCCAGGAGAGCCTACGGGATTCCAAGCAGGACCAGGGGAGGGCCCCAAGGAGTCGGCAGCTGCGAGAAATATTTGGGACAAGGTTTCTCAAACCCGAGCCCAAGAACCTCTAGGGAGTCCTAGGTTAAATTCGAGGAGTCTTCAAGTTTAACCGGAGAAAGGCCGTCTTAGGAAGCAAGTCTCATTCCCTGAAAAGGGCTCTGCAGTCACGAATCTTCACTGCACTGGACTTTTGTCATTTTTTTTTTGAAACGGAGGGTTGCTCTTGTCGCCCAGGCTGGAGTGCAGTGGAGCAATCTTGGCTCACTGAAACCTCCACCTCCCGGGTTCAAGAGATTCTCCTGCCTCAGCCTCCCGAGTAGCTGAGATTACAGGCGCCGCCACCACACCAGGCTGGTTTTTGTATTTTTAGTAGAGACGAGGTTTCTCCATGTTGGTCAGGCTGGTCTCGAACTCCTGACCTTGTGATCCACCTGCCTCGGCCTCCCAAAGTTCTGGGATTACAGGCGCCGCCACCACGCCTGGCTAATTTTTGTATTTTTAGTAGAGACGAAGTTTCTCCATGTTGGTCAGGCTGGTCTCGAACTCCTGACCTCGTGATCCACCCGCCTCGGCCTCCCAAAGTTCTGGGATTACAGGCGAGAGCCACCGCGTCCGCCATGGACGTTTGTCATTTAACCCTGAAAAGGATCGGGGCTACCTAAGAGATGGCGAATCGTTTGCTGGTATTCTGCCAGCAGGACCTGTTTTCCTCCGAGCTGGGGAAGGATGAGAGGCGCAGTTCGGGAGTGAAATGACCACATGCGTTCGGTGTGGGTGGAGAGGGAGCCACAAGAGCCCTTGCTGGCTGCCTCTGGGGCCCTCGGGAACGGGGCAGGTGCGCGCAGCGCGCGGGGAGCGCTCTGGGATCCCTTTCGGCCCTAAAGAAGGCCCAGGCCCCCTCGGACGTCCTGCTCTTCTTTGTCCTGGCCAGGAGCTTCCCTCCTCCCCTACGGGGCCGGTGCCGGGGACCTGGAGTTCGTCAGGAGGACCGTGGACTTCACCTCCCCGCTCTTCAGGCCCGCGACTGGCTTCCCCCTCGGCTCCTCGCTGCGCGATTCCCTCTACGTGAGTCCCGGCGGCGGCCTCAGCTCCCTGGGCCGCTTCTCTCCCCGGCTTCGAGACCACCCAGAGGAAGCAGGAGAGGAAGCAGCCTCGGCGGGGCCCCTCGTGCGCCCCACAGCCCCCTTAATGTCAGGCGTCTGCCGAGGAACACGGGGCGCCAGGCGAGGGCGGACGCCTGCTGGGCCCAGCGCTGCTCTGCGCGGCCTTCCCAGGAGCAAAACGCTGCGCTTGGGAAACGGAGCTGTTCCCGCCCTGCCCGCGTTCTGGCCCCCTGGTCCTTGTCCCCTGGACGAAGTTGGAGGGGCCGTCCTGGCTCCCGCGGCCCTCAGGGGGAGGCTGTGGGACGCACCATGAGAGGGCGACTCAGCAATGGTGAGGTGTCTACACCTGCTGAGCCATGGAAAGAGATTTCCACCCGAGCGATGGAGAGAGGGTGTCTACACCCCTGAGCGATGGAGAGGGTGTCTACACCCCCTGAGTGATGGAGAGAGGGTGTCTACACCACTGAGTGATGGAGAGAGGGTGTCTACACCACTGAGTGATGGAGAGAGGGTGTCTACACCCCCTGAGTGATGGAGAGAGGGTGTCTATAGCCCTGAGTGATGGAGAGAGGGTGTCTACACCCCTGAGTGATGGAGAGAGGGTGTCTACACCACTGAGTGATGGAGAGGGTGTCTACACCCCCTGAGTTATGGAGAGAGGGTGTCTACACCCCTGAGTGATGGAGAGGGTGTCTACACCCCCTGAGTTATGGAGAGAGGGTGTCTACACCCCTGAGCGATGGAGAAAACTGCTACCACCAAGAGCTACAGAGGGTGTCTACACTGAGCGATGGAGAGAGGTAAAAATAAGCACTCAAGCGATGGAGAGAGGGTGTCTACACCCCGAGCTGATGGAGAGAGGGTGTCTACACCCCTGAGCAGATGCAGAGAGGGTGTCTACACCCCAGCGATGAGAGAGTGGCCCACAAATCTCCGAGCGAGAGAGGGCACACCCGAGGCATGGAGAGAGGTGTCTACACTCCACTGAGCATGGAGATGAGAGGGTGTCTACACCCCTGAGCGAAGTGGAGAGAGGGTGTCTACACCCCGAAGGGAGTGGGAGAGAGGGTGTCTACACAAACGAGCTGACAGAGAGGTGCCCACACACCTGAGTTATGGAGAGAGAGGTGTCTACACACCCAGAGTGATGTGGAGAGAGGTCTAAGCACTCTGAGGATGGAGAGAGGGGTGGCTCAGACCCTGAGGATGGAGAGAGGGTGCCCACACCATTGAGTGATGAGAGAGGGTGTCTTATAGCCCCGAGTGATGGAGAGAGAGGGTGTCTGCACCCTGAGTGATGGAGAGAGGGTGTCTACACCCCTGAGTGATGGAGAGAGGGTGTCTACACCCCTGAGTGATGGAGAGAGGGTGTCTACACCCCTGAGTGATGGAGAGAGGGTGTCTATAGCCCTGAGTGATGGAGAGAGGGTGTCTACACCCTTGAGTGATGGAGAGAGGGTGTCTACATCCCTGAGTGATGGAGAGAGGGTGTCTACACCCCCGAGTGATGGAGAGAGGGTGTCTACACCCCCGAGTGATGGAGAGAAAACTGCTACCACCAAGAGCTACAGAGGGTGTCTACACTGAGCGATGGAGAGAGGTAAAAATAAGCACTCAAGCGATGGAGAGAGGGTGTCTACACCCCGAGCTGATGGAGAGAGGGTGTCTACACCCCTGAGCAGATGCAGAGAGGGTGTCTACACCCCAGCGATGAGAGAGTGGCCCACAAATCTCCGAGCGAGAGAGGGCACACCCGAGGCATGGAGAGAGGTGTCTACACTCCACTGAGCATGGAGATGAGAGGGTGTCTACACCCCTGAGCGAAGTGGAGAGAGGGTGTCTACACCCCGAAGGGAGTGGGAGAGAGGGTGTCTACACAAACGAGCTGACAGAGAGGTGCCCACACACCTGAGTTATGGAGAGAGAGGTGTCTACACACCCAGAGTGATGTGGAGAGAGGTCTAAGCACTCTGAGGATGGAGAGAGGGGTGGCTCAGACCCTGAGGATGGAGAGAGGGTGCCCACACCATTGAGTGATGAGAGAGGGTGTCTTATAGCCCCGAGTGATGGAGAGAGAGGGTGTCTGCACCCTGAGCATGGAGAGGGTGTCTACATCCTGAGTGATGGAGAGAGGTGCTCCACACCCCGAGTGATGAGTAGAGGTGCTCCACACCCCGAGCAGATGGAGAGAGGTGGTGGCTCACAACGCTGAGTGATGGAGAGGGTGCTCACATCCCTGAGTGAGGAGAGGTGTCTACACCCTTGAGTTACAGAGGGTGTCTATAGCCTGAGTGTGATGGAGAGAGGGTGTCTACACCCGCTGGAGTGATGAGAGGTGTCTATAGCCCTGAGGATGGAGAGAGAGGGTACTCAAGCACCTGGCTGAGTGATGGAGAGGGTGTCTAGCCCTGAGGAAGATAGTGATGGAGAGAGGGTGTCTACACCGCTGAGTGATGGAGAGGGTGTGTACATCCCTGAGTGATGGAGATAGGCTGTCTACACTTGTGACTGATGGAGAGAGAGTGTCTACACTCCTGATTGATGGAAAGGGTGTCTACACTCCTGAGTGATGGAGAGGGTGTCTATACTCCTGAGTGATGGAGAGGGTGTCTACACTCCTGAGTGATGGAGAGGGTGTCTACACTCCTGAGTGATGGAGAGCAGGGTTTCCACCTCCTGAGCCCCACATGATGTGTCACAAGCTTCAGGATGGGGCCCAGGGGACTGGCCAAGAGGGATGTGTCTGTGATTGGCTGGTCCACAGCCGGGGATCTGCAGTGAAACAGGACCAAGCCGACCACCCAAGGACCCAAGGGATGCCTTAAGGGTGGAGTATTCTGTGAGATTATATGGAAAGGGCTCTCCCGAAGCCAGGACACAGGAGGTGACTTCCCGGGGTTGTTAGCACCTCTAAAGCTCTACCCTTGGGGATCACGCTTCTGTGGAGCTGGACCAAGGCTGGGACTTTCCTCCCCACCTTCCTCCTTGAATGGTAACCACAAAACCTGTATGCTTAGTTCACAGACAATGGCCAGATCATCTTCCCACAGTCAGACTACCAGATTTTCTCCTATCCCAACCCACTCCCAAGAGGCTTCACAGGCTGGGACCCTGTGGCCCTGGTGGCTCCGTTCTGGGACGATGCTGACTTCTCCACTGGTCAGGGGACCATATTTTATCAGGTGAGCCTTTCAAAGCCTGGCAGTCAGGATCCCGCAGCAGGGGAGAAAAAGAGCTGTGTGGAAGGCATTGCCAGAGTCGCTGCTGTGACAGCCCCTGCAGCAGGGGACTGAGGCTTAAATATGGGTATGGGAGGAAGCTGTCAAGGGATATTAAGCTGACTCGACCAGGAATACCCCAACCCAACCATGAGACTGACCAGGAATACCCCCCAGAGGCCTGGCTTCACGGCTTCATTCATTCTGTTACTGCTCCCCACTCTGGCCGGGGCTGGAGTCCATGGCTGCGAGGCTCCTGCCCGCTCATGGAGGCAGGTGTGGCGAGCACCACCTGGGCCCTGCTTTTCTGTTTTCTCCACATGTCTCTTTGGTCTCTCCTGGGCAGGGGAGAGGGTGGCTCCCGGCATGGGCCTGATGAGGCACAGCTGGGGCTCTTGAGCTGCCATCTACCCAGGACAACCGCTTCTCGAGTCCCTGGGGCCTGCGCCTGTGGCTCCTTAGCTCAACATCTGGTCCGCACGCCTGATCCAACCTGTACATTTGCTCAGTGCTCCCCTCCTGCCTCTTGCACTCTCCTCCTGCCTTCCTCACCCTCTGCAGGCATCTGATGAAAGGCCATACTTCAGGTCCTGAGAAGGATAAAGTAAGTTACTGGTTTTTAAATGCATTGATCACTTATACAGAAACACAGACTCACAGATACGCATAGAAACACGTGAGCTTTAGTTTTGCCTCTGGCTTCTGCAGAGGGCTGGTGGGGAAAGGAGACTCTAATCAAAGAGCAAGAATTAGTTGTTTCCTAGTACTTTAGGCGAAGTACCGTGATCTCGACTTCGACGGCACAGGGGCTGGAGGTGTGTGTCTTCCCACCCCGTGGCCTCTGAAAGCTGGGCTTGTGACTGAACGTCAGCATCCAGTTTCTTTGGAGAGCCGCGCTCAGGCGCCCGGGCGGGTAGGGGGAGTTGGGTGAGGGCTCGCTCTCTGGCACAGGGGCCAGAATAACGGAGGGTGGGTGGCCCAATTGTCGTCACGTGACTAGGGCTTTGGGGGTTGACTGCCCATGTGTGTTAAAGGGTGTGACACATTCAGGACTCTGGTAAGCAAACAGACTTAGAACGTTTTTAAAGCAGTTTTTTTTTTTTTGTAAGTGAATCTCTTTGGCCGGGCAGTGGCTCAGCCTGTAATCCCAGCACTTTGGGAGGCCAAGGTGGGTGGATCACTTGTGGTCAGGGGCTTGAGACCAGCCTGGCCAACATGGTGAAACCCCATCTCTACTAAAAATGCAAAAATTACCTGGGCATGGTGACTCATGCCTGTAATCCCAGCTACTCGGGAGGCCGAGGCAGGAGAATCGCTTGGACCCGGGAGGCGGACAGATCATGCAACTCGAGCCACAACTGAGGGCCAGACTCTGTCAAAAAAAAAAAAGACAGTTTGGCAACAAAGAGACCTTATCTCTTTAAAACTAAAATAAGATTTTTAAAAAGCTTATTCCTTACATTTAGATGAAGCTAATATAATAATAACTATGTTGTATGTAATAAATGCTATGATATAACGTCACAATGTAATGAGTATTGTGTGTAATATGTATCAATTATTATAATGTGGATATTGGAGCCGACATTTAACTCCTCTCACACAGTCACATTACATCTGGGGTCTGCAGGCTCTATCAGCTTGGAGGGTTGGTCTAGTGTCAGAACTTAGGAAGCCCTCTGATCCGGGGCCCCCTTCTTTGCCCTTGTGTGTTATGGGCAGCCCGGCAGTAGGCCGACTCCACCATTGCTTCTGCTTCTCAAAAATTGCATTCTCTCAAACGACTTCTCTCCACACCTCGAAACCACAGTGCTTGAAGAAGTTACCACCTTGCCAACTGCTGCATGAAACACCTTTACCTGCACATGAGGAATACCTTTACCTGTGTATGAAAACACCTTTACCTAATACGAGAAACACCAGCTCACCTGACTCAGCCAGTTTGCGAGGACCTTGAGGGGACAATATCCTCTGGAGCCTTGTGGCCATACCCACCTCCTCCCTCTTCCAGAATTACTCCCTCAGCCAGAATCAGGCATTGTCACTCCGTCAGGTCTATGATCGCCTCGCCCAGAACAACCCTAGACTCTTCTAAAGAGTTTGCTTCTCTTCCCACGTCCACATTCGGGGCAGGGGCAGGGGACGCTCACATTTGCTGAGAACCTTCGATGTGCTAAGCTCACAGGAATCACGTCTACTCTCCCGACTGTGCAGACGTGGAGCCTGGGGCTCAGCTAGGAAGCGGCTTTGCCCGCAGTGACTGCAAAGCTCCTGCTCTTCCTGGCACCGCCTGCCTCCTACAGCCCAGCAGCGGCTCTCTCACCCCGGGCTCCTCCAGCGGAAACCAGCCTGGCCAGGTGCTGCCCGAAGCCTCGAACTCCTGGGCCTCACGGCAGGTCCCAGCAGCTTATGCTGTCCCTGGCACCTTGGGGCCAAAGCCAGCTCCGCCCTGAAGCTGAGCTTTCATTTCAGTGAAATGTCCATGCAGGCTTATCAGTCATCACTTCTCACCCCCTCCAGCTCCAGGAAGTGTGAGCGGAACCGCCGAGGACTGAGAACACTCAGTGCACCTGAGGAAGCAGTGTCAGAGGTGGGGCTTGGTAAGAAGTTCCTTTTTCCTCTAAAGGGAGAGTCTGGCATGTGTGGGCTAAAGAGAAGGTGTCTAGGTCTGGCTCCTCCTCACCTGAGTGGCATGCGGGGTCACAGGTGGGTGAAAGCAGGCGGACGCACCTGTCTGTGGAATGCTTGAGGTTGAGGTGGGGTGCATTTATTTTTAGATACACTGTCCGGTCTGTCTCCCTCTCCCACCCTTTACCTCTTCTCTCTGGTTACAGAAGGAAATGAGGGAAGGTGATACCTTCCAGTCAATAGCGGGTCCCACCTTTGGAGAGAGCAGGGCTGAGATCGTGGAGGCAGGTGTGGCCAGCACCACCTGGGCCCTCTGCCCTCCTGGGCAGGAGGGGTGGTCTCAACATGGGCCTGATGCGCTACAGCTGGGGGCTCCTGACCTTGTGACCTGGTGGCTAGAGAGCGAGGATAGCCAAGCTGATGGCTCGGTCACGCAGCCTGGCTCCGGACTCAGTGTGGTGACAAGAGCGAGATTTGGGGGATTTCCCAGAGCCAGCCCAGGTGACATGGGCACACCTGCTGAATCTTCCCAAATAGGTCATTTTTAGGCAAGAATAATCTACTGTAATGACCCGTACACCTACCCTGCCCCAAATTTTCTTCAGGGAGGTTGTACTGGGGTGAATATGTGTCCCCCAAAATTCATGTCACTCAGAACATGACCTTATTTTGAAGTAGGGTCTTTGCAGAGATTATTAGTTAAGTTAAACTGAGGTCATCCCCAGGCTGAGGCAGAGCCTAATCCAGTGACTGGTGTCCTTATGAGAAGAGAAAACAGAGACACGCACAGGGGAGAAGATGGCCTCGCAACACGATGGAGGCAGAGGCTGCACAGACACGGCTGCCAGCCCCGGAATGTGGAGCATGGCCAGCCACCCCTGGAAACCAGGAGACAGGCCAGGACGGCCCACCCCAGAACCCCGGACGTGAGTGTGGTTCTGCCCGTGCCTTGATCTTGACTTCTGGGTTCCAAACTGTGAAAGAATAAATTCCGCTTTGTTTGAAGCCACCAAGTGTGTGGACACTAAGGCAGAGGCCTTCCTGGGTGGCCCTCACTGAGGCTTGCCAGTTGCCCAGCACACACCCATGCCCGGGACCACAGACCCTGTTGCTAAATGCTCCTCCCTCCATGTCTAGATTCCGCTAGCTCGTGACCCTGTGAGGGCATGGGCCTGGCACACAGGGCCCCGTGGTAATGTGGCCGGCCACATCGCCACACTGCCCCTCTGCCTGCATGCTGCTCTCCCGGCTCACTCAGCCTCCCTGGTCCCCGGGAGCCGGCTTCACAGCTGGTGACTCCCTCACCAGGAGCAAGGGGAACAAGGAGCAAGTCTCGCTTCTCAGCTCCGGCGGCCAATCTCACTCCCTTTTCTCTTTCAAATTTTGTCTGATCACTTTCTGTAGATAGTCACAGCTTCTAGTATCAAATGAGAGGCCTGACAATTGGTCCTGTTTCATGGCTGGGAGCTCACCCAGGAACAAGCTGGGATGGGGAGGGGCTCTCCGCCTTTTCCCCACCCACCTGCAGAATCTCAATCCACCTGTCATTTTAGGCCTCCTGAGTAATTATTCTATTTATTTTATTTTATTTTTTTAAGATGGAGTTTCTCTCTTGTTGCGCAGGCTGGAGTGCAGTAGCATGATCTCAGCTCACTACAACCTCTGCCTCCCAAGTTCAAGTGATTCTCCTGCCTCAGCCTCCTGAGTAGCTGGGATTACAGGCGCCCACCACCATTTCTACTAAGTTTGTATTTTTAGTAGAGACGGGGTTTCTCCATGTTGGTCAGGCTGGTCTTGAACTCCCGACCTTGCAGTGATCCTCCCACCTCGGCCTCCCAAAGTGCTGGGATTACAGGCGTGAGCCACCGCATCTCGGCTCCATTGTTGGCTTTGCTTCACCTTGAGACCATCAACATTAAAAGAGACAATTGGCCACAGGTATCAAAAAAAGTGCCCAACATCCTGGACAGAGCGCGCTCATGTTCTTGGGCTTCCGACTGTAGAAGGAGAGGGTCAGAGCCGCGATCAGAACACACCACTTCTGCTTTCAGGTTCAGGAAATGACCCTAAACACAGAAGGTGCTTTGGGCACAAAGCCTCTTCTCCCGGCATTACCTGTAACAGGGACGACCGTGAATAACCCAGTGTCCAAGTGAGTTCAGTTATGGTGGCAGCCAATGCAGTATCACGTGGCCTTCAGAAATGTGTGAATGAAGTTTTGTAATAATGGGGGAGACGTTTAGGTTTAAAATTAGGTGGGGGCCGGGCATGGTGGCTCTGTGCCTGTAATCCCAGCATTTTGGGAGGCCAAGGCGGGCGGATCACAAGGCTTGTGAGTTTGAGACCAGCCTGGATCAACATGGTGAAACCTTGTCTCTACGAAACACAAAAATTAGCCGGGTGTGTGGCGGCGCCTGTAGTCCCAGC